CAAACACACACACACACACACACACACACACACACACACACACACACGCCGTCTGAACACAACAGAAGTCTCAGTCTTTTGTAACCTAATCTCAGAAGTGGCATTCCATCACTTTGTCATATTTCATTGTTAGAAGCAAGTCATTGGGTCCAGCTCACACTCAAAGGGAAGGGGATTAGATATGGAGGAGTCTTGGAGTCTGTCTCCCTCACTTGCTCTTCTTAGCTTATGGCTCCACCCCCAGCTCAGCTGTTCAGGCCCCCAGTGGGGTGCCCTCCTGGGCTACCCTCTTGCTGTCATCCTACCCACAAGGCCCTCTAATTTGGCTCCCCGTGGTACCCCAACCTCACCTCCTTCCTTCGCCCTGGGCTGGAAGCTCAGTCCCACCTCAGGGTTTCTACCTGCTGTTCTCACTGCTTCTCACTGCGTGGAATTCTCTGCCCCTGATGTCCACCAGGGTCTCTCACCAGGAAGCAATCCATATGTTGCCTGGGGCTGCAGTCTTATCTGAAGGCTGGATTAAGGAAGGACTCACTTTCTTCTGTACTTAGTTTTTTGTTTTGTTTTCTGAGTTGGCGTCTCACTCTGTCACCCAGGCTGACGTACAGTGGCACGCTCACGGCCACCGCAGCCTCATCCTGCTGGGCTCAGGTGATCCTTCAGCCTCAACCTGCTGGGCTCAGGTGATCCTTCCAAGTAGCTGGAACTACAGGCACATGCCACCACATCTGGCTAATTTTTTGACTTTACTATAGAAACAAGATCTTGCCAAGTTGTCCAGGCTGGTCTCAAAACCCTGAGCTCAGGCAATCCTCCTGTCCTGTCTCAGCCTCTCAAAGTGCTGGGATTATAGGCCTTTTTTTTCTCTTTTTTTTGAGTTGGAGTCTCACTCTGTTGTCCAGGCTGAAGTGCAGTGGTAGGCTCATGGCCACTGCAGCCTCGACCTGCTGGGCTCAGGTGATCCTTCAGCCTCAGCCTTCCAAGTAGCTGGAACCACAGGCATGTGCCACCATACCCAGTTAAATTTTGATTTATTGTAGAGCTGATGTCTCCCCAAGTTGCCCAGTCTGGTCTCAAACCCCTGAGCTTAGGCAATTCTCTCACCTTGGCTTCCCAAAGTGCTGGGATTACAGGCTTCAGCCACCATGCCCTGTCATTGTTGTTTTTAAGAGATGAGGTCTGGCTATGCTTCCCAGGCTGGACTTGGATTCCTGGGCTCAAGCAATCCTCCCACCTCAGCCTCCCCAGCTGGGATTACACTCGCATCTCACGACACTCGGCTTCCTCTTCTGATTTTACTTTGTACCCATCATTATAATAAACCATAATCGCCGGGCTCGTGGCTCAGCCTGTAATCCCAGCACTTTGGGAGGCCGAGGTGAGTGGATTGCCTGAGCCCGCAGGTTACACATGGCACTGGATGGGATTCCCCCATTGAATGGGATTCCCTGGGTGATCCTTTACCCTAGAGTATAGCCCCATGAAAGTCATCCCTCTCCTGAAGTGTCAATCATCTCATCAACCCAAAGTTTAAGAGCAGCCAGAGGAAAGATGGGAAGTGCACTTGGAGTCTAATATAGTGTACAACTCTCCCCCATCCCTGAAAGATGCGGGGAGTCAGGCCAGCTCCCACTGTACTGGGGCCATCTCCTCCTGGATGTAAACTACCTAAGGTCTCTGGGGATTGCTGCCACCTTGTACCTGGGGGTCCTGCCCTTACCTCAACGGTGGTCTGGACCGAGGATGAACTCACGTCTCTGCTTAGATTTTGGAGTTTGTCAAAAAAGCGGGAGAGACTCTTGGGAGAGGAGACAAGAGGGAGTCAGAGAGTTTCTTGGGTGGTTGGAGAGCTCAGAGCAAAGGAAGAGGTCTGAGGCAGTGCTTTCCAGACGGATTTCCTGCCCTCTGGGTCCTGCAGGGCCACTTACCTGACTGCTGATTCCAGTGGGTGGGGTCCAGGTGGGGAAGAGCACCTCTGTAGGGAACAGGACAGGGGCTCAGTAGGGATGGGTGCTATGGGGGGTTGGAGGGGGAGATCCTAGGGTCACGTCAGACCAAGTACCTTCACAGACAGTTGTGTTGTTATTCTGGAGCCCAGGTTTGGGCTTCCAGCCTGGGCCACAGCAGCATATGTAGGAGCCCACGATGTTGACACAGATGGTGGAGTGGAGGCACCGATGCTGCCCGGAGCTGCACTTGTCCACATCTGGGGACACAAAGAGGGGTCAGGCCCTATCCCAGCCAGATAGGGTTCCTGTCCTGCCTGTGCCCCACCTTGGCCTCCCCATACCATGTGATGCCTGCCACAAGTCCCTCAACAGAAGCAGATCCTGGCATCATGCTTCTTGCACAGTCTGCAGAAATGTGACCCCCAAAAACCTCTTTCATTAATGAATCACCTGGACTCAGGTGTTTTGTTATAGCAACACAAAATGGACCAAAACAGAGGGCTTGCACTGAGATGAATCTATGACCTCCATGTGCAGTTGTGCAGGTTGCTGATTGCATAAGAATGCCCAGCCAAGGAGGTGAGTGGGGGCTGAAAATCTGCCCACTCTCCATTCCCCAGATGTGGTTGTGTCCACCTGAGATGAGGCCTTTTTATAATTCACAGGAAGACTCTGTCCTTCGGTCAAGCCATGTGCATGGTCCCTTTTAGACCAGCAGAACTGTGTATAGAGCCCTCCTGCTGGACTCTACACAGGTGAATGTCCTCAGTACATGTACTAATCCCCTCTCTCTGGGCAGTTCATGGTTCCTGACCAGCCACTACCTGAAAATGTCTGAAGCCTTCTCTTCTGCCCAGCTGACTTCCCCTGGAAAGAGGACACAGCCTGATGATGCATGGAGACCCAGCTTCTCCCAGGCCAGAACCGTGGTGTGGGCCATGGCAAGGGATGGAGCGGGTTGTGTGCAAATAGCTTCCTTCTGAGTACCAGCCCCAGCCCAGGTATATGGTCCCCACAGGAGTCCAATCTGTTTGGGCAACTCCTAAAAAGCATGCATCACATAATAACTGTGCATTATTAAGCATGGTACGTATAGCACCTACTATGTGTCAGGCTCTGTTAAAACACTTATAATTTCCTTGATCCTCTGAGAAGGCATAGGAGGTAGGTGCCGCTATTGTCATCCCCATTTTATAGATGGGTAAACCAAGGTTTAAAGGGAGGTAGTGAGTTTGCCAATACTGTGCAGCCATCAGGTAGCAAGACCAGGACTTGAACCCAGGTAGTTGGTCCCAGAGTCTGCTCTCATTCTGAGTTTGTGGGACATACACACCTGTTCCATTTCAGAACCCAGGCACTGAACCTATAATCAGTGCGCTGCCCCTTGGATGCTGTGAGAACAGCTCTGGTGATCCCAAAGTCATGGATGGGGAGATGGAGGATGTGGGTTGGCACTTACCTTGACATGTGTTCTCACTCTCATTCTTGAATGATTTTGCCCCAGAAATGAGCCTGCATCCTGGTCTGCACACGCAGTAGTAGCTCCTGTCCGTGTTCCGACGGTCTGCGAATTTCCCGCATGACACATTTGAGGGTGGCACACACTCGTTGATGTCTGGGACACAACAGTGCAAAGGGTCACCTCTCAAAGGTGTGAATGCCTTCTAGGAAGAGACTCTGGCCTTCAACCTTTGTCATGAGACCTGGACAAAACTAGGCTCCCAAGTGATATTCCTGAGGTGCCTTGGGCCCAGACGCTCTGGAGGGCCTGCTTGTTCCAAGAATAAAATATACCTTAAAAGTAATCTCTGGAGTACTTATAATACCAATTACAATGTAAATGCTATGTAAATAGTTGTTATACTATAGTGTTTAGAAAATAATGATAAGAAAAAAGTCCGTACAAGTTCAGTCTAGACTCAGTCATTCATTTTTCCCCCCAAATATTTTTGATCCACAGCTTGCTTAATCCCCAGATTTGGAACCCATGACTATGGAGGGCCAACTGAATACTATTCAGCACTAAAAAAGAAGGGAATCCTATCGTTTGTGATAACATAGATGAATCTGGAGGACACTGTGCTAAGTGAAATAAGCCAGACACAAAAAGACAAATGCCACATGATCTCACTTATATGTGAGATCTAAGAAAGTTGAATTCATAGAAGCAGAGAGTAGAACATTGGCTGGCAAAATGTTTGTCTAAGGATACAAAATGTCAGTTAGGGGAATAAGCTTAAGAGATCTATTGTACAATATGGTGACTATAGCTAATAACAATGTGTTATATTCCCGAAAATCACGAAGAGAACAGAGTTTGTGCTCTCACCACAAACAATAAGTGTGTAAGGTAATGCATATGTTAATTAGCACAATTATCCATTCTCCAATGCATACATATGTCAAAACATCATTAAATACATATAATTTCTATGTGTCAATTAATTTTTATGTGTCTTTTTCCTCAGCAAAAAGAACAAGGCCAGTGTTATATTTCCAGACTTCAAACTTTACTACAAGACCACGGTAACCAAAACACCATAGTACTGGTACAAAAATGGCACACAGAGCAATAGAACAGGATAAAGAATCTCAAAATAAAACCACTGACGTACAACCAACTCATCTTTGAAAAAGTTGACAAAAACAAACACCGGGGAAAGGATGCTCTATTCAGCAAATGATACTGGGAAAACTGGCTAACCATGTGCAGAAGAATTAAACTAGACCCCTAACTATCACCATTCATAAAAATTAACTCAAAGTGGATCAAAGACTTAAACATAAGACCTCAAACTGTAAGAATGTCCGAAGCAAACCTAAAGAATACTCTTCTGGACATCAGCCTAAGCGAAGAATTAATGATCAAGCCTTCCAAAGCAAATGCAGTGAAAATTTAAACTGGCAGGTGGGACTGTATCAAGCTAAAAAGCTTCTGCACAGCAAAAGAAACCATCACGAGGGTAAAGAGATGACCCACAGAATGGGAGAAAATATTTGCAAACTATATATCTGACAAAGGCCTAATATGCAGAATCTACAAATAACACAAATGAATCAACAGGAGCACTAATAACCCCTTTAAAAAGTGGACAAAGAATATGAACAGACACTTTTCAAAGAAGGACATACAAACAGCTATCAAACATACGAAAAAATGCTCAACGTCACTAATCACCGGATAAATGCACATAAAAGCTATAATGAGGTACCATCACACATCAGTCAGAATGGCTATAATGAAAAAGTCAAAAAACAATACTGGCAGGGCTTCAGAGAAAAGGAAACACTGATACACTGTGGGAATGTAAGCTAGTTCAACCTGTGTGGAAAGAAGCTTGGAGATTTCTAAAGAACTAAAAATAGGTATGCCATTCAACTCAGTAATCCCATTTCTGGGAATACACCCAGAAATGCATACATTGTTCTACCAAAAAAACCTGCTGCACTTGCGCTCGCATATTTACGGCAGCCCTATTCACGATAGCAAAAACATGGCGCCAACCCGGGTGCCCATCAATGATGGATTGGATAAAGAAAATGTGGTACATATACACTATGGAATACGACACATCCATAAAAAAACAACATCGTGTCCTTTGCAGTAACATGAATGCAGCTGGAGGCCATCATTCTAAGAGAATTATCACAGAAACAGAAAACCGAATCCTGCATGTCCTTGCCCATGAGTGGATACTAAACACTGGGCACACATGGGCACAAGGATGGGAACAACAGACACTGATCACCGCTAAAGGTAGGGAGAGATGGGGAATAAGGGATGCGAAACCATCCATTGGGTACTGTGCTCACCACCTGGGGGGTGTAGGACAGGGCAGGCTCATCAGGAACCTAAACCTTGCCATTATGCAATATACCTATGTAACAAACCTTCATGTGCACCCTCTGATTCTATAAAGAAAAAAACACTGAAGAAAGTTCTGGAGAATGATGGTAGTGATATGAATGTCTTTAGTACCACAGAGCTGATATACTTTCACATGGTTGAAATAGTATATTCTGTGGTATGACTATTTCAGCATAATAAAGGGCTCTGCCCACTGCTGGCTTCCACAATCTTGGCTCACAGTGGCCCAAACACACTCCACAGCCCCTGCCAGGCACTTCTCCAGTTCCCAATGGTGCACACGAGGTGCAGGGTGACATTCGCAGGCCTTTGAAAGGTGCCTCAGCAGGTCTCCAAGGGGGTCTTGTTGTCTCCACCACTGGGGTAGATTCCCCCTTATCAGATCCAGTCCCGGAAGTGAAATGAGGAAGCAGCAGGAAGGAGCTCACAGCTGAGTCACTGGGGTGGTTTCCAGCATCTTATCTCTCCCTGTTATCTAAACACAAGAGGAAAGACGCCCATGAATGAGGCCCCCTTCAAGGATCCCAGGGACTCACAGCATTGAAGTTTGGCATTGTTAGGTAAAAACAATAGCTTAATAAGAACCAGGGATGCAACACGGGGCAGAATGTTTGCTTGGCCCTTCTGATCTGGGGACCAGAGACTGTTGGACTTACAGAATCATGATGGGTCACGGTGAGTGTCTGGTCTTTCCCGGGGGATTCTCTTCTCTGCACTCAAAGATGTTCCTGCTGAGTCCCCTCCCCTGGGCTGGGTGAGTCCATGTCAGGAATGGAGAGGAGTGAGTGCACACCTGAGGAATTCATGTCCAACCCCCACCTGACCATGAGACCTCCCCTCACCCCATCTTGTTCTCAAATGGTGGCAGTGGTTGGAGACCTGTCCTTAAGGTGGATGTCTTGTGGTGGAGTTGGGGGGCGGAGGGCAGCTGGGAATGAGGTTCATGGGAAGGGAAGAATGTGCTGATGGGAAATTCCTCAACCTGCCAAGCATCCTTCCAGGAGAGAGCTGGGATCCAGTCCCATCAGCTGCAGCATCTTCTCCCCACGCTCATCCAGACTTCAGATCTCCACAGACACACACGTGAAAGTGCAAATGCAAGTGGAACTTGTAGGAGTATCTCTAGGGTCATGCATGGCCTAGGCAGTGGCCACAGAATTTTTTTTTCTGATAAAATTCACATCTCCTTCTGTTTCTTTTTGAAAATAAATCTCTGTCACCCGTGCTGGAGTGCAGTGGCACAATCATGGCTCCCTGCAGCTTCGACCTCCTGGGCTCAGGGGATCCTTCTGTCGTGATCTCCCAAGTAGCTGGGACTACAGGTGCACAGCACTGCACCTGACTAATTAAAAAAAATTTTAAAAATAGAGACAAGATTTTATTATGTTGCCCACGCTGGTCTTGAACTCCTGAGCTCAAGTGATACTCCCACTTTTCTTCCCAAAGTACTGAGATTACAGGTCTGAACCACTGTGTGTGGCCTTCCCCAAATATGAAATAACACATGGATTGTCAGAAAACAAAGAAAATGTAAAACATGGAACAAAGACAATCATCCAAAATTCTACCACACAGACTACTGAAAAACTTGGGGATATGTATCTCTCATCTCTTCAAATATATTCAAAATTTTTTCAAATTAAAGAATGAGAATCGAAGACTATTTCGAGTGGAGAAAAGCATTTCTTGGTGTAGAAACAATATAGTAACGTTACCTAGACCTGGATCTAGTTTCCACTTTATTAGTTGTGCAACTTGGGCCAAGCCACTCAGCCTCTTTGAGCCCAAGTTTGATCAGTTCAAAATGCATGCCTCATGGGGGTTCTGGGAGATACAGGGTTAAAAACCATGGCCATGAGCTGAAAGGAGAGCCTGGGTGCTCCTCCCCTCCTCCTGCTTCCACATTTCTCCCCTTTCCTTTTAGTATGCAAGTAATAACAACACCAATCCCAGTGATCATAGTTAGCATGTGTTGCCAGTTTTCTCTGTGACAGTCTTTTTTTGCTTTTTGAGTTGGGGTCTCACTCTCCCACCCAGGCTGGAGTGCAGTGGCTTGATCACAGCTCACCACAGCCTTGACCTCCTGGACTCAGGCGATCCTCCCACCTTAAACTCCCGAGTAGCCAGGACTACAGGCACACCCACATGTCCAGTTAAATTTTTGATTTTTGTAGAGATAAGGTCTCACTATGCTGCCTAGGCTGGTCTTGAACTCCTGGCCTGAAGCAAGCTCCTGCCTCAGCCTCCCAAAGTGCTAAGATTACAGGTGTGAGCTATCGTGCCCAGCCTTTGTGCCAGTCTTGACCTGTGCTTCCCACAGGTAAATTTTAAATCTCAAATCTCACATCATCCATGCAGAATAGGTACAGTGATTATCCCCCATGTACAGAGAAACAAACTGAGGCAAAGAGAGGAGTGATATTTTCCTAACGGCCAAAGAGTTAGTCGATAGTTGAGCTAGACTTTGCTCCGAAGTAGCTCAGCTCCCTGGTGTGAGCTTTCAACACTATACCTCTTGAATGTGAAGACCATGAGGATCCACATCCTTCACAGGCCCCTGACTCATCGCCTCTCTCTCATCCTTGACAAAGTGCTTCTGTGCTGCTATCAGGGATGAGGGCTCCAGCTGCCCCACAAACTCCCCTGCAATCTCCAACATGTCCCTGCACCACCCGTCATCTGTACTGTCACAGGTTTCCACAGGGCTCGTAAAAATCTCAGACGAAGAGATGAAACCCAGCTTGCAGCGACAGGTGGTGGCATTGACACATGAGGAACTGGAAGGGCACCACTGGGCACAGCCTGTGAAGATAGAGACCAAGGAATGGAGGGCACCAGCTGCCAG